CGCTTGCACATGGATGATGCCCAAGGGATCCTCGCTGCCTGCCCTCCGGCTAGCTTTGAGAGGGGTGCGGACGAGCAGAGGCGCACTGTGCCCCGCGTGGAGGTTGGCGAGGCTGCTCTGACCCCCAGGAATGGCGGTGGAGACTGCGCTGTCCCTTGCTTGCTTTCTCTCTCTGTTGCTTTCAGCCTCGATGCAGCTCTCTGGGTGTTTTTGCTTCCCGGATTTCGATTTCCAATCGGTTTCGTTTGCTTCTCTGACCGGGTCACCGAGGGACGTTGGCTCCAATGCCCTTTTCCAGATACCAACTACTTTGGTGGCCTGGTTTGTGTTGAATAAAAAGGGCAGTCCCTGGACGAGGAGACAACAAAGATTCTGAGACACAGAACTGGGGTTCTGAGAGTAGGGGCGCAAACTAGGCCAGCCACTGAGACCCGTGTCGCGCTCTACAGGCCAGGAGGGGGACAGAGTCTGGTCGCCACCACTTGAAGGCCACCCTTCACCCGCGCCCCTAGCCCGGTCCTAGGCCACCCCCTCCCCAAGTAGGCCCCTGTCCGCTGTAGATCCGCCCCGGGTTTCCTCCAGCAGCACCAGGGTCTGCGTCCCTTGGTGCCGCCCGGCCCATCCCGAGAGGCGAATGTTCCGCGGGGCGTGGAGCCGAGTGAGTGGTGCCCACCTGCCGCTCCGGCTCCGCGTGCGCCCGGGACGGCACGGCCCGCTCGGGGACTCTGGGGCCCCGAGGGGAACCCTGCTTAGCACCGTTCGCGGCCTGCCCTGGCTCGGGAAAGGTAGGGGCCGCCGGCTTAGGGGTTGGGGGCCAGGCGCGCACCCAAACTGTCGCCCCGCAGGACAGTAAAGCGGCTGCGCCGCTATGACCCGAACCTTTCCAGGCGGGTGACCTAGATAACAGAAGACTTAGCCGCAGGTGTCGATGCGCGCCTCTCCGCCATCCCTCCTCCACCCCCGCCGCCATTTCACTCCCACCTGCCCCCTCCAAGTGCACAGCTTCCTCTGGAGTTTCGGTCCCACCTGCTGCCTCTCCCCTCTCCAGGGAAGGGCCAGAGGGGAGACCCTAACTGGGGCAGACCCTTCCCTCAGGGTTGTGACCCCCTCGGGGACCTCTCCATTGCGCTCGGGGAGCATCTCTCTCTCGCCCACACTTATTGCGCCAGCGCACCTCACTTCATCCTCTCTCCCCGTCTCTGTGCCCGAGGTGTCTGTCCTCTTCCAGCCTCTTTTCTGGGTGTCTCCTCGCCCGGTCCCTCCCCCCACCATGCGCAGGGGAACAAGGGGGTGTGTCACGCAGCAGTCTATTTCTGGTCCCCCTGGGGAGGGGGTGCGTGCTAGGATTTTTCTGGCATCTGCTGGGCCCAGAGTCACGAGGTGCTGGTGTCTGTGACTGGGTGTCGGTGCCTCCGCCCGCCCCCTCAGCCCCTCTGGCCCGCGTCTCTGTGCGCCTTTGTCTGTTCCGCCTCTGTTCCTGTCCACATCGCTCTCGTCTGCGGAGCGCTTTGTGCCGCTGCCGTCTCTTTGTCTCCGCCTCTCCGGAGTCTCTGCTCTCTGTAACTTCTTCTCGCAGCTCCGAGAAGCTGTCGGCCTCAAGGGCACCAATTTCAGGTGTGTGAGGTGCGGATGGGAGTAGGGGTGAAGGTGGGCAGGTCCCCAGCATGTCCAGCCTTTGCGCCGGTGACTCCAGCTCGCGCGATCGAGTCCAACTCTAAAGTGAAGGAGTAGAGGCGAGGCTGTAGGAATGGGGGTGGGGGAGGAGTGTAGCCCCTCTTCCTGGAGCCGGGTCCACGAGCCGCTTGAACTACATCTCCCACAGTGCACTGGAGGAGGATGGGCTGCCTGTGACTTCGCCCAGACACTTTACAATGAAGGAGTCAGGATGAGGGCATCGTGCTAGGCCAGGGGGAGAAGTAGTCACACCGTGGAGAGAGATTGGGGGCGCTTCAGCTTAGCCCGGAGCCCTGACCTGTCTTGTCCATCCCATGCACGTCCTCCTCCCCCCAGACATGAACTCTGCTTGCTCCGTCCTCAGACCCCTCAGATATGGAATGTGACAGGAGAAGAAGGGATGGGATTCATTGACAAGCATTTCCTTCTATTGTGACCTGAAAACCCCTGCCGCTTCCAGCAACCTGATCTAAGTGAGAGGCAGAAACACCCCTTGGAAATAGTCTCCCTAAAGTGAAAAAGTGAGAGATCTGGAGTTCCAAGTCTTTAAATGAGTGGGGTGCAGTGTGGCCCTCAGGCTGGTAACTTGTCCCGTTGTAAGTTGTAAGTGGCTGGGATCATCCCTTAACCTCCAGCCTCTATTTTCCGGGGCCTACAGACAGCTGGTGAGGTTGCCTGTAGGTGCAGGTGAAAGCTGAGAGCTGAGCTCTGTATCTCTGGGACCCATCATCCTCAGAGCCTGGAGCACGGAGTCTGTGGCTTTGGGGCTGGTCCAGGGTTTGTGGGGCGCTCTGGTGGCATAATTCACTGGAGTCAAACTGCTTACCCAAAGAAGGTGCCTCTCTGGCAGTTCAAAACCACCCGTAAGATAAAGATGGGATCTCTTCTTTGCAATTTACAGCTTCTGAAAACCTCCTGGAAGTCAGTTCTGACACCTCAGCAATGAGTTTGATGATGGGGTTTGGAGTCGCAGGCTTTTCGTGGAGCACAGAGTGTCAGGCTGAGTGACCCATCTCAGCCACTTTCTGGGCCAGGAGGATAGTCCTGGGTCAAAGCACCCTGTCCTCTGTCTGCTTTCTGGACTGGTGGGCGCTTCTTCCAGGGGGACCAGAAGACCTGATTCCAGCCAGCGTCAGGCCTGGTAGAAACTCTGTCTAGAGGGTCCATGCACCTTGTGCCCACCTCCTTCTGAGACCAGGTGCCCTGCTCCAGACACTTTGTGGGCCAGAAGGCACCTCTAAGACCAACTTCTTACTCCTTGCCACTTTCTTAGCCTGCAGGAGCGTCACCTGGGTGTCCTGCCTCCACCCTTCACTCAGTTTTCTTTCTCTTTTTAAAAATTTCTCTTTCCCTTTCTTTTTCTAATTTTTTCTTTACTATTTCCTTTTTCTCTTTTACTTCCCTTCACATCTCGTGTTTGGTGGAGTTGGGGTTTTTTTTTTTGTTTTCTGCCTCTGCTTTTCCCCATCTTATTTGTTTTTCTGGGTCACTCTGGTGGTGTAGTCGATAGAGAGTTGCCATGCTAACACAAAGGCTGTGGTTCCCTGGTGGGTCAGACCCAGCAACTGCTCTGCGGGAGACAGAAGAACAATCTCCTCTCATGCGATCTTGGAAACCTGCCAGAGGGTCAGCTATTAGAAAGAGAGAGATGATGGCACAAGGGCTGCTGACAGTTTGGGGAGGAGAGAAGGGCTTCTGCTAACATTGCCACCTGGAAGCTTTGATTCCATCAAGGACTCAATAAATCATGTCTTTGGTCTTCAAACTGAGTTTGGAAACTCAGATATACCCAGAGGAGATAGTCCCCTGTGGCCTCAGAGCCAGGACAAGAGAATTTTTAACCTGGCTTTGCCCAAGCTATGTCACCGTAGACCAAGTTCTTAACCTCCAAGGGCCTCAATCTCTTCATCGTGGACTTTGTTGAACCGCATGGTCACTAATCGTCCTAGCGGGGACTCTAACACACTCTGAGACCCATACTGCTGGGCCACTGTTGTCATCCCTCACCCACCCAGCCAGGTTGAGGAGGGAGAAGGAGTTCTTATTTAGAAGTTTTGTCCAGACAGCAACATGCTGTGTTCCCTGAAGCTTTGTTTAATGGCATGGAATGTAAACCCAGCCCCAAGCCAGCCCGTGGAGAGCCTCTCCCTCAATATACCTAAACTGTGTAGTGTTCTTGTAAAATGCAAGGCCAGTCAGTATCACACTCGCAGAGTAGCTGTCCCGTGGGATGTTGGTTAATGGGACTTAACGTAGGTTGTGAGAGGGGAGCCAAATGATTGGGTGAGAGACACAGGAGGAGGGATTTATTGATTCTGTTAGTCTGAGGGAGAGAGTTCTAGAAATAAGAATCATCAGGACTATCCTGAGAGGGAGATGGAGCAGTGATTACAGGAAAATATTTTATTTGTGTTGTTTGGGTTTGTTGTTTGTTTTTTTTTTAAGTAACAGAGGGAAGAGGGGGTGGAGTTTATCATTGGAGAGAACATAAAAGGGGAGAGTAGCAGGGGATGATCTTGGTGGACATTTTCTTTTCTGGGGTTCCAGTAGAGCCCTCTTCTCGCACCCTTTGCAAAATGATCACCTAGCCCTGATGTGGACACACGGGGGTTGAGGTGGGGGTAGGGAGGAAGTGTTTTTATTGACCTGGGGGGGAGGTTCTGACATTTTTTAAGGGAGCTGCCCATCTGTCCACTCTTTTGGGCTTCATTGTTTATGTGTATCAAGGGGTTGGAGGGGCTACTGGGGCAGCAATGTGGAGGAGATCTGGGCCCTGCTGTTCCCTTCCTTTGCCCTGGGGTAAGTGACAGTGACAGGAAGGGGAACGTTGGGCCCTCTGTTCTTCCCTGGGGAGCCCTCTTGGCAGAAAAGTGGTGGTGATGGGAGTTTCTTTCTCATATTATCCTTGAAGAGATCTTGGGGGGGGTAATGGAGCCCCTGAGGATGTCATCCCTCATATGTAACTCCCCTCCAGAGTCCTTCCCTCCATGGCTGACTTCTATAGGAGATAACTGACCATGGTCTCTGAGGGACTGATGCCGGGGGGTGGGGTGGGGGGTGTGCTTCCTGAGCACTTGATGATGACTGGTAAGGATGGAGCAGGTGTAGCTGGGATCCAAGGAAAGAAAAGGACATCCACCATAGGGGTAGGTAGGCACCTTGGGAAATGGGTTTTGTGGGAAGTCAGTGTGAAGAGCAAAAGAATAGGAATGTTTGTATAGGAAAGGATTGTGAGGGGCCAGATGTTCCTTTATAGGGGCAGACGTGGGAAGGAGGCCAGTAGAGGCTCTGATCCTGCTGTTGGCCTCTGTCTTTTCCTCAGGGTAATGAAGCTTGAAGCCCTCTGTGGGATAGTCACTCCTGAAGTCCCCAAGTCTGAGAAGGAGGCTGACTTGTCAGATGTGGAGCCCAGCTTGAAGACCCCACCACAAGAGGCAGGAGCCACGTCTAAGTCTGGATTGGAGCTTGGGGCTCAAGACGAGGCCCGAGGAGATGAATCTGGGCTTGAAGCCAAGGCCAAGTCCCTGGGGGACAAGCCCACCTTGGAATCAGGGTCCAAAGTTGAACCCCTGGAGTCAGGGGCAGAGCCTGAGGTCACGGTCAAGCACAGGTCCGGACTGGGGCCTGAGGCTGAGGCGCTGGATTTCGTGGTGGCCACTGACCGGGAATTTGAGGAAGTGCTGGCCATCTCTGGAGGCATTTACGGGGGCCTCGACTACCTTCCCAGCCGCTACCACAGCTGGCTCAGGGATCCCAACCGCACAGTGGTGCTGGCCAAGCGCAATGGAGGAGTGGTGAGAGCTGGGGGTGGGGCCACGATGAAAATGGGTGAAGCAAATGTGGGTGCAGGGGTCTTAGAACAGGAGCCAAACTCTGTCATAGCTCTCATCCAGAAGCTGGGGAAATAGAATCTCCTTTGAAACCAAAGATTAGGGCGTGTGGATCCAGGGGTTAGATCACTGAGAGTGGGGTGGTGAGGCAAGGAGAAGTCGGGTTGGGAGAGAACTTTGAGGATTGAGGACCCCTCTAAGGAATTTTAGAAGTCTGGGGCCCATAAAAGGAAGCAGACAATATGTTGGAGATAAGCTGAAGTGGGAGCCCAGACCCCAGGAATATACACAAAGAGGACCCTAATGGAGAACCAGGATCGACTCGGGGGCGGAGTCTCTGAGCAAGCAGGGTGCAGTGGACTGTCCCAGGACAAGGGGGAGGAGCCAAAGAAAGAGGGGCGAGACCCGCTGTCAGGGACACACGCGGAGCTGGAACTTCTCAGGAAGTGGAAGAGACCCCAGTGAATGACGTCTTGCTAGTTCTGCAGCCCAAGCAAAACTCCAAGTGCTGAGGAGCACCCCATGGCCAGGCCTCCGGCTCTGGTCTGGCGCCCCGGGGTGGTGACAACGGAGTGTGTGCTCAGCCTTGGGAAGAGGCGAGTCCAGTGAGCTGAAAACCCCCAGCAGGGCGGAGGCGGGAAGGGCTCCCCCCTAACGGCCTGGGTCTGCAGATCGCTCTGGAGTCCGTGCACGTGATCGACGCTGGGGAGACGGCGCTGGTGGAGGGGCTGCGCGTGGCGCCCTGGGAGCGTGGCAAGGGCGTGGCAGGCCTGCTGCAGCGCTTCTGCTCGAAGCTGGTCAAGGAGCATTACCCGGGCATCAAGGTGGCACGGCTGACCCGGGACGACCAGCTCGGCCCGCGGGAGCTAAAGAAATACCGTCTAATCACCAAGCAGGTGAGAAGAGCTTCCATGGACAGGTCTTTCCCCTCCGATATGCAAGTGCCCAGCCCAACCCACCACCTGTCCAGCCAGTCCACGATCTTCCTTTTCCGGGCCATATGGAGTGGCAGGGCCCAAGAGCCACACTTCAGGACTCACAGCCCTTGCTCAGGCCCTTCTGACTAGTGGAAGCCAAACCCACAGCGCTTGCTCCTCCAGAGGACTGGAGAAACCTGTGTCCCAACGTCAGTCTAGCCTTTTCAAGGCACCCAAGGATCCTTGTCTCAGCCTTGGCGTCACGCACTCACCCTATACCTTGGCCTCCCCTCCTGCTCATACACACAGGCCTCTCTCTCTAGCCTCTGCACTCTGATCTCGCCTCTCCTTGGGGATCCAGACATTCGGACCCCTTGCTCTTTCATAGTCCCTCCTTGCTCCACTCTGGTATCCAGCTTCGCCCATTCCCTCCACTTCGCCCTGCCCCGCATGGGTGGGCTTTCCTGAGGGGCTTGTGGGGACCCTTTGGCAGAGGAGACTCCTAGAGGCGCGGGCACGCCCGCTCCTGCCTGGCTGACTCATGCCTCCTACAGGGCATCCTTTGGGTCCGATTCAACGCCTCGGCGCTGCTGGAGGAGCTGGGCGCGCGGCTGGCGGCGCTGCAGGCCTCTGGCACCTTCGCCCCCCTGCCCACCGAGGCCGTATCGGAGGCCGGCGGCGACGTGGCGCGCCTCCTGCTGTCGCCTTTGGTGCAGCGAGACGTGCTTCCGGGAGGGACCATTATCCAGGACTGGCAGCCCTACCGGCCGAGCGAGAGCAACCTGCGCCTGCTGGCCACCAAGGGCCTGGAGTGGCGCGTGGACAGCCGCGCGCGTCCGCGCGTGCTCACGCTGTGCACGCGCCCTTTCCCCATCCCGCACGGCGGCGACGGCACGTGGCGCTGCCTCAACATCGACGCCTTTGGCAGCGATGGCGCGCAGGTGCAGAGCCAGCTGCTGTGGCACCTGCAGCGCCAGGCCCCGCGCCTCGCTGGCCTCAACGTCATGTGCCAGCTCTTTCTAGCGCCCCAGTTGTGGCCACAGCTAGCCGACTTCTGCCAGGCTGGGCTAGGGCTCGAGCTGGTCAAGGGTTACAGGGAACAGTACCTCCTGGAGGCTGACCTCTGAGGGTGGGAGGGAGGGAGGAGATGCACTTTAGAGCCGCCCCCTTCCGCAGATCCAGCCGGCCCCGCCCCTGCCCTCTCCAAGCTCCGCCCTCTTCCCCAGCTCTCAACCTTGGGTTCCATCGCCCGCGCCCCTCAACCTCTTTAAGTTTCTTTCTCTTTTTCCACCATCATTCCCCCAACCACCCTGCCGCAGTGCTCCACGCCCTAACTTGGACTGCTGGATTTGGAGGGGCTCTTGGCGCTGTTATTGTCTGCTCGTTTCCCACCAAGGAGCGAGGCTTCCACTGGCTTCAGAACCTCCTCCTGGCTTCTCCCAGCTTTTCACTTCTGCCTCCTCGTGGTGGGAGCCAGAAGAGGTTTTCAGGGCCCAGCACCCGCCTGGAGCTCAGGCTGACAATAAAAACAGCCTTACTGCCTCCCGCACTTTCTCAGGCCCTCAGTTTTCCCAGTGCACTTCTGCGTCCCCCAGTCTCCGGTGCCTTTACCCACTCTTTTCTCCTTACTTGTGGGCTCCCTACCCTCCGCCTTGTGTGCAATACTGAAAGATTCAGTAGAATAGTAAATCTATTTCTAATATTCTGCTACTCAGGCCACTGTTTATACTGATCGCCTTCCTGCACTCACTCCTCAAGCTAGGGGTTCATCCCACTTTGCATGATAATGCAATCTCACAAGCCTGCTCCCTTCAAGCCTCTATACCACCAACGGGTTCAGGCTGGACATCTTGATGCTGGGGAGGGCAGGTCCCTCAGGCCCAGGTGGGGCTGTCTCCTGGATCCCCCCAGGCTGCCTCCTAGAGAGAATGGAACCCTCAACCCCAAAGATTTCTAGACACTCCTCCCTTCCTTTGGATCATGAATGTTCTTTAACTTTGAAGGCCTTCTATTTAAAGGCAAGTAGTAACAGCTTCATTTGCATAGCTCTGTATCGCATTCTCAGGTTTAGTAAGATCAAAGTGATTGCTAAATCTCTAAGAGGTGGGATCCCTGCCAGGACTAGAATCCAGGTTTCCCACGCCCAGAGCACACCCCAGAGCCTCCCTCTGTGAGCCGGTGAACTGGTGGGGTGATAAGACAGTTGTTAAGGATTCCTTGACGGCTGGCACGGGACTAGCTGGGAGTGGAATTCAGAAAGTGGTCGGAAGAGGGCGCCAGGAGGTGGGAGAAGGTAAGCGAAAGCGCAGCCACAGCTTCACCACTTTTCCCAGTTCAACTGGCAGCAGCGCTTCTCTGCCTTCACTTCCTCCTGCACCTGGCCGTGGGGCCACCCTCCCTGTCATTTCGCCCATGCCTGCATTGCAATAAAAACAGACCCTTTGCGCACCCTCTGTGTCAGTGTCACTTCTCAATGGGGAGGCTGGAGGCGCCTCATTCCCCCACCATCCTCCTTCCCCAGCAGCCTGTATTAGAGAAGATCTCTAAGCCCCGAGGCAAGGGTGCTAATGACTTCCCGGGAGTGAGGGGACGGAGGAGGGCTGCTGGTCGCTGTGTGTCCCCACCCTTCCCTTGGCCAAGCGGCAGAAAGAAAGCAGCTGCTCTGTTCAGAAGCGAGGCTCCCCTGCCCCGCAGCTTCCTCAACCCTGTAGGTTCTTCGACTCTGTCTCAAGTTTCACTTGGAAACCGAGATCCTCAGCTTCAGGATGCAAAAGTCTAAGTTCCAGTTCTCGACTCTCCTGAGCCAGCGCGCTCGTTTTCTTTTCCGGGATGGGTACCCGGGAGGGCGTGGGGAGGAGGGGCGAGGAAGAGGGGCGTCCGGGCTCCGCCCCTAGAAGCCGAGCTCCGGAGCCGCGGAGACTGCGCTCCCGAAAAGTAACGCGCGGGGGCGCCAAGACGCATGCTGACGCGGGCAAGGCAGCGCAAGGTGGTTTCCGTCCGTGTGAGTGTGTCCATGGGTGTCTTTGTGTGTCTGCGTTTCTGTTCATGTGTGTGCAAAGCAGGGGTGTCAGGGTGGGTGACATTCGGGAACAACGTGCCTTAGAAGAAGGGACTCCAAGGGCTTTTCTTTTCCCTTTTTTTTTGCTTTGTTTTGATGAAGACCTTGCTTGTTATGTTACTATGTACGTGTAGATGGGGAAGCAGGCGACTAATGTGTATCGTTACGTGTAGCTCAGCGCAGCCTGTGCGTCCCAGGAATCGTGCCTTGGGTTTTCAAAGTGGCATTCTTTGAAGGGTTTGGTCCCCTCTTGTCACACTGTCAAAGGAAACTCCTCCATTCTTCTGGTCGCATCCTCAGCCTAAGTCTGATGACTGCCAGGCTAGGTGTGACATTGTGCTCGTGCAAGTGGGTGTGTCTCGGAATCTTAGTGTAACCGTGCGCTAAAGTGCTTGTGGGTTTGACAGGTCTATGGGATGGAGAGGCTGTTTCCTCCTGGCCCTGGTTAGTTTGTGGACACAACCTTCATGGTTCTCTTTCTGTCTCTCCATTAACTGTCTCTCTTTGTGTCTCTCCTCATCTCTGACTGTTTCTCTCCCTCCCTTTCTTGGTGACTCATTTCTGCGGCGCTGCCCTCCCCCGGCTTGCTAGGTCTCCCCTCCCCCACTCAGGAGTGGGTGAGGGTCTGAGGGAATGGAACCTCTGGACTGAAAGCCAAGGTGAACTCCCCCGCCTGCCATTCATCTTGTTTCCGGGACCCAGAAACTGCCCCCCAGCCCTTTCCCCAGTCTTTTTCTCAAGAACTCCATCCTAGAGAAATGGGGTAGATGGGGAATAGGCAAGAGTGCATTCTAATGGGGCTATTTGCAAGGGGGGTGGGCTCCAGCACCTTCTTTTAAGTTCAAAATGAAGACCCCCTGCCCTTCTCATAAAGTGCCCCCTCCCCGTCTGCCCTGCCCCCCTCCAGCGCTGACGCAGTGAAAGGCTGCAGAGGTGAGTCACCAGCTGGGGGGAGGAGGGGGGTGGTGAGCTGCGGAGGGGCATCAAGCCCCTGCCCTCTCTTTCTCTCAGCTGTTCTCAGAGACTCAGTGCTCTGCCCTCTACCCATTTTTTCATTTGTTTGGTTTTTTTTTCTTCAAAGCTTCAGTCTACAGCATTATTCTGCTGCCCCCCCACCCCATCTTCTCCTGCTGCCCTCCTGGGGCATATGGGAGATTTAGAAACAAAGAGAGATTAGTGCACACTCAGAAGCACACACCACGCATCCCCACCAGGCCCCATCTCAGCACTGCTTTTGCCACATCTTTTTCTCTAGTTCTTCTCTTCTTCAGTCTCCTTCCTCTCCCCAACCCTAGGACTCTACCCTCAGGTCTCATTCTTTTCCAGAAACGTCTAGGGCAGCAGAGTATGAGGGACACAATATAGCCCAGGAAGATGGGGGTGGGTGAACGTGCTGATTCAGGTAGGAAATGGAGAGAGATAGCAGTCTTCAGAGATCCGGAGACCCTGCAGCCATGGAGCCATGGATCTAGATGAGGAACCATGCCTTCAGACTTGGAGTGTCTTTCTGGGAAGTTTGCTTGGGCCTCTAGACTTGGATGGAGGGAGGGGTAGGATGGATGGTGTTGAACTTGAACACAAGAGTGGGGAGAATTCTGTGGAAGCAAGGAGAGAGGACCTAGAACTTGGGGGCACTCAGAGGCTTCATTGTACAAAGATCTAGAGAAAAGGTTGATAGGGGGCACAGAAAAAATCAAAGGCACATGGACGTACAAATAACTGCCAGTTTATTTGGCAAGATCCAGAGAAATGTGCCAAGGCACACATCATGAGAAGAACACCACCATCTATATGTAGTCACACTTAGGATTTACTAAGGATGCACCAATCAGACACACTTTGAGACCTTTAACAGATCAAGAACTCCTGACCATACAGGTAGACAGGCACTCAGAAGGGGCAGGACACATACATATTCACATTTACACTCAGAAACTGGGGAATGGGCAAAAATACAGTCACACAGCCGGAAAGAAATGATCGTCTCTTTCATTGGAAACACCACCTTTCCAATCCACTCTTTACCTGATTGAATGCACACACCCTCCATTCTCTTTCCTTTCCCATCTGTATCTTTTCATCTCTGTCCTGTATACACACAAATCCACATGCACAGCCATGCATATGCACACAGAGGTGCACCCACACTCACTCAGGCATGCAGTCTCTCCAGGCGATTGTCTCTCCTCATCTCTCCCTGGGTCTCGGTCCCTCAGCCCTGTCAACCTCTCGCCTGCCCTCTCCCTCTCTCCGCCCTCCTTCTCTCTGGGATAGCTTCCCCTCCCCCTCTCCAGATGTCGGAGCCATCCCTCTCTGATTCATCCTCCTCAGGAAGGTAACGTGACCCCCCCTCCCCATTCCACCAGGCTTTCAATCACCTGGCTGGGAAGGTGAAGAGATGGGGGTGGGGAGCGGAGAGAAAAGGTGAGCTGGAAGTAAAGATGGGGAACCTGCCAGGGAGGTGGGGGAGGGGAGGCACTGCGGCAGGGTCTCCAGCCCCATCCTCTCCCTCCTTTCTTTGGCGGCTCCGCTGTCATCTGGGTTCTCAGATTCCCCCTACCCCTATTCAGGCAGTGCCCTCCAGCTATTTCAGATTCCTTCCTTTCTTTCTCCCGCTCCTGCCCCCACCGCTACTCTCTTCCCCACCTCTTTCCCTCCCGCAGAGCTCATGGGCTTTCTGGGAAAGTCAAACCGTTGATGGAAGCGAGAAGCCACTGCTGACTATAGAGGGGAAAGCACGTGAGAAAGAATGAGTGAGTGTGTGTGTGTGTGTGTGTGTGTGAGAGAGAGAGAGAGAGAAATGAGGCGGGGGGAGATTTGCTCCAAAGTGTCCCCAGACCCTGACAAAGAGCCTCGGTTCTGGTTTTCTGAGCCTCAAGGTGCAGGTGCCCTGCGCGTGTCCACAAGTACCCCTGTGTCCGCAATTGTGGGGTGTCTGGTATGTGTCATTGTCACTCCCCCCCTTTCCCTGCCCACGCCCCAGCGCCGCTCTCGGCCTGCACCACAGCCCCCTCCAGCCTCCTGCCCTCCCCTTCATTCCTGCAGTGCCCGCTTCCCTTACTTACCTCTCCCCTCCTCTGCCCCCTCCCCATTTCCGTCCCCCCACCCCCGCCCACGGCTGGTCTCCCTTCACCGGACCCGGCTGGTTGATGGATTCTCTTTGCGCAATCTGTGCGTCATCGCCCCCCGCCCCCACCCCCAGAGTCTCTAGCTGTTCAAGCCCCCAGCCCCAACCCCTCTGGCAGGAGATACGGACGAAGGGTCTGGTGGCAGAAGGCGGTCTCTGACGTTGCAGCCCCCCTCTCCGAGCCTTGTGTTAAAATTTTCTCTTTAAGCAGTGGGGAGAGCTGGAGTTGAGTCACCCCCCCAACCCTGCGCAACCCCCTCCCCACCTGACATGTTCTCGCCCTCCAAACGTCCTTGTAGGGGGAGAGGAGGGAGGGAAAGAAACAGGAAGAGGGTGAGGAGAAGTGGGCTGGAAAGGGGCGCAGCGTGGGCCTTAACCTACGCGGCAGTCAGCTGGACAGAAGGACAGACACACCTTCTTCAGATTTGCACCAGCCGTGAATAGACACGACCCAAAGGCACACTCATACTCAGTCTTTAACCCCCTTCTGTATCTCGGACCCTTCCTGATGGGAATTTGAAAAAAACCCCGCAAGATCCACCCATCAGTTCCGGCCCAAGGACCCCGCACCGCAGTCCTACAGCGCCCACAGGCGAGCCAATCCATCCCTCCTCGGGTTCACAATGTCCTTGGGCGTGTTCCCCAAGGAGCCAGGCTGGAGAGTGAGGCAGTCAGGTCCCCTTCCCGGCTTTCGAGCCCTTCTCTTTCCCCTCCCCAGTGAGCATCTCTGACTGGTGCCCAGTCAGACGCTGGGAGTGTCCCTTTCCTATTCCGAGCCGCCGTGCTGGCTCTGTAAGCGGCACGTTGCTCCGCAAACCCACCCTTCCCGCCTTTCAGGGCTTCTGCATCCACCTCCCATTCATTCTTCCATTCATTCATTCATCCTTTTCTCCTCGTCTTTCCTTCATTCATTCATAGCTCCCTGCCCCGCCCTCCCCGATATTTCATTCATTCCTTCCTTCCTTCATTCATTCATTTCCCAGCGCGGGGCTGGCGCACGCCCCTCCAGTCAAGGACTCCAGTACGCAGGCGCGGGTTGGAAAGCCGCGCACCCTCCAATCGCTGGGCGCTCGCCCGCTACCCCATGAATGAACATTGACGTCAGCGGGGCGGGGCGCGCCCACGTGACTGCTCGCGCTCCTCTTTATAAAGCGGCGGCGGTGCGGGCGCTGTCCAGCGTGCTGAAGCCGGAGCGAGCGAGCCACCCAGAGTCGCGCAGACCCTGCTGAGCCCAGCTCGCTGGACATCAGACTTCGCTCATCGCTCGTCCCCCCCACCCCATCCACCTGCCGTTTGGAGCCGAGGCGGACGCGTCCCGATTTTCCCCTACCCCTACCCCATCCCAAGCCTCCTCTCTACCTCCCGCGCCGTGACACCAGCTGGTAAATACTCCGCTGTCCATCTCTCAAACCCTTGGCAGCCGTGGGTATGAGGAAGGGTTTTCCTCTCCTCCAGGTTGGGAGGGAGGGTTACTTAAAACACAGGTAGATGCCCCCCGGTAAGGGTTCCTGGTGGCTGGGGGTGTTGCCGATTTTCTCTTGCTCAAGTCGCCCACGCACCATCGGGGAGTCCTGTGAGTCGGGAGCAGATTCCCCCTCCCCTTATCCTTGCTGCCAAGTACGTGGGCGCGGGGAGTGTGATGGCTCAGGCAAGGGGGGGGTGAGGAGGAACTGGGAGAGCGGGCGCTGCGGGTGCCCCTTTGCCATTTACACGTCTCCTGAGATCAGCACAAGCTTTTGCTCCTAAACGTTCCTCTTTGGGGTAAGGTTGGGAAAATCAGGGAAACCCCGGCATTCCTGATAAAACGTGGGGGGAAGGGAGTGTGGAATCAGACTGCAGGGAATTCTTAAGAGAAATCCACTCTTTGACCCTTTCTATTTTCACAGCCTCTGGCAGCCCCTTGGTCATGCAATCGCCCCAGTTGTGGGCTTCCGCCCTCTTCTGCCTCCTTCTATTGATCGATGGACGGGGAGCGGCGCCCCCCGGACGCCCTGAGGCGCAGTCGTCATCTTTCAGCTCTGATCATAAAGAGTCAGAAACTGGGGACGCAGTACCCAGGTCCAAGGATGGGAGCGCCCCAGAGGTCCGAGCTGCTCGGAATTCCGAGATGCCGGACGATGGAGAGCTTTTCCAGGGCGTGGATCCCCGGGCGCTGGCCGCGGTGCTGCTGCAGACACTGGACCGTCCGGCCTCGCCCCAGGCGCCGGGTGGCTCCCAGCAGGGGCCCGGAGAAGAAGCAGCTGAGGCTCTGCTGACGGAAACTGTGCGCAGCCAGACCCACAGTCTCCCAGTTCCAGAGACCCAAGCGCCCCCGGCGCCGCCTCGCCCCCAGACTCAGGAGGAAAGTGGTCCCGAGGCGGGTTACCCTTCCGAGGAGCTCGAGACGCTGGCATCTCTGCTCCAGGAACTGCGAGATTTCAGTCCTAGCAACACCAAGCGCCAGCAAGAGACCACAGCAGCAGAGACGGAAACCCGCACTCACACGTTGACTCGAGTCAACCTGGAGAGCCCGGGGCCCGAGCGCGTGTGGCGCGCATCCTGGGGAGAGTTCCAGGCGCGCGTGCCCGAGCGCGCGCCCCTGCCGCCCCCAGGCCCCCAGCAATTTCAGGCTCGAATGTCTGAGAGCGGGTCCCTGTCCGAAACCCACCGGTTCGGAGAAAGCGTGCCTTCCTCCAAAACACACCTGGGGGAGGCGCTGACACCCCTGTCCAAGGCGTACCAGGGCCTGGGAGTGTCCTTTCCTAAAGCGCGCCGGCCCGAGGGCTCCCTCCTGGGAGGTTCGGAGGCCGGGGAACGCCTTTTACAGCAGGGGCTGGCGCAGGTAGAGGCCGGGCGGCGGCAGGCAGAGGCCACACGGCAGGCCGCGGCGCAGGAGGAGCGGCTGGCCGACCTCGCCTCCGACCTGCTGCTCCAGTATTTGCTGCAGGGCGGGGTCCGGCAGCACGGCCTCGGGGGTCGCGGGCTGCAGGAGACCAAGGAGCCAGAGAGCCAGAGGGCAGAGGAGGAAGCGGAGCAGGAGAGGCGCGGCGGGGAGGAGAGGGAGGAGGAAGAGGATGAGGAGGCGGCCGAGGCCGAGGCGGAGGCCGAGGAGGCGGAGAGGGCGCGGCAGAACGCGTTGTTGTTCGCCGAAGAGGAGGACGGGGAAGCCGGAGCCGAGGACAAGCGCTCGGAGGAGGAGACGCCAGGCCACCGGCGGAAGGAGGCGGAGGGGGCGGAGCAGGGCGGGGAGGTGGACGACGACGACGATGAAGAGATGGACCCGCAGACCATCGATAGCCTCATCGAGCTGTCCACCAAACTACACCTGCCAGCCGACGACGTGGTCGGCATCATCGAGGAGGTAGAGGAGAAGCGGAAACGGAAGAAGAACGCCCCTCCCGAGCCCGTGCCGGCCCCCACCCACGTCCGCGCCCCCCAACCCCAGCCCCCCGCGCCCGCGCCCGCTCAGGACGAGCTGCCCGACTGGAACGAGGTGCTGCCGCCCTGGGATCGGGAGGAGGAGGTCTTCTCCCCGGGCCCCTATCACCCTCTTCCCAATTACATCCGGCCGCGGACACTGCAGCCGCCAGCAGCCTCGCGCCGCCGCCACTATCATCACGCGCTGCCGCCTCCGCGCCACTATCCGGACCGGGAGGCCCAGGCGCGGCGCTTGCAGGAGGCGGCGGAGGCGGCAGAGCGCCGGCTGCAGGAGCAGGAGGAGCTGGAGAATTACATCGAGCACGTGCTGCTCCGGCGCCCCTGACCCGCCCCGGCCCCGCCCCGCGCGCCTCCCCGCCCGCGCGCCGCAGCTCCCCCTCCGTGCGGCCCCTCTGCCCCCTCCACGTTTGCATGCGACCCTCGGCCACCTCTCGCCCCGCCTCCTTCGCCCGCGGGAGTCCCACCCAGGGCTGTGCCAAGACCTGTCATACCTCTTCCTGGATCCCAAGCCAGAGCTCCCAAGCTCGTTCACGAGGGACCTGGGGCTGGCCCAGGCGCGCGCTGGCTGGCGGGCGGGCGGTTTGTGAGGATCCTCTCCCCCAGCGGGGTCTAGTCCCCACCTTGCCCCACTTGGGATGTCCCCCTTGAAACCGGAAAGAGCAGTTCCAGTTTAGTTGTGTGAAGAAGTATGTCTGCCTCCTTTGGGCCTCCCACGGACCTCCCCATCTTCTCCAGATCGCTGTGAATTCACCCCTTCTTCTCCTATTGTAAATATCCCCCACGGAGGAAATAGTTTTGCTAAGAAATAAAAGTGACTATTTTATTAGGACTTTGTTCTCCGTTATTCACCCGTCCCCTTGGGCCTGCGTGGTCCTTTCACAAGGGGCGGTGAGGAAGCGACAGTCAAGGCCCCTTTTCCTTCCCCCTACCCCCAGCCAGAGCAGTGGGTGGGATCCCTTCATTCAGTGTTTGGGGGGCAGCATACAGCTCATACCTATTCGAACCCTCAATTCACTTCCAGCTGTTGGAGGGTCAAAGCCTTAAGATACAGAGCCATTAAAATGCCCTTCATTCCTGACCCCGGGGCCACTTGGGCAGGTCTGGGTCATATCCCACAGTGCAATCCTACCTCACTCATTACTCATCCCTAAATTCCTTGCTCTATGTACTTGTCAAGATATATGGTGAGGAGAGGCTGATAGACATCCTGGCTTTAGCCCCTTCTCTCAAGGAGACCGAGTGACGAGTGACGCAGTAACCAGAATAGCTTAAGCATGGCACAGATTTCAAGGATGGCACAGGTTGCTGTTTGTATGTGGGGCAAATGAGTTGGAAGTGACTCAGTGGTGGCACCTCCCAAGGACCACCATTCTTCTAAGTACAGCAGGTGGGATGTATCTTTGAAGTACTGACTGCCCTACCCAGATCAAAACCTGAGGGCATGAAATCTTCCACAAAGAAACACAGGCGTCAAAACACTTTCTGAGGAACCACTCTTTCCTTGTGAAGGCAGAACTGGGGAGCTGGTCAAAGGGACCCCGAAACAGAGAAATCCATTCAGGGGAGGGTTGCCTGATAAAATCCAGCACACCCAGTTTAGTATGAATTTCGGATAAACCGTGATTAAGGTTTTAGTAAAAGAGTGTCCCCAATATAGTAGGACACACACATAAAGGAAAGGTGGCAATCCTTTGGGGGAAGAGGCCATCAGGCACTGTTCCCTGTGCCTCCCCACTGATAGCAGCACTGCTCGCCTTCCTCCACAGAGTCCAAGGAAGGCAAAGTCCAGAAATGCTTTTCCTTTTATTTCAGAAGAAAGGAAAAAATAAAGTCAGACACTTCCCCCAGCCCACTCCCTTGACTCCCAGCCTCACCCAGAACATGGAGAGGAGGGGAAGGGTCCAGTCTCCCACAGAGCTCTCCCTCCCCCCAACCCTCACTTCCCTCAAGGTGGCAAGGTTAGAAAAAAAATTAACTCTGTTGTTCCTCCCCTGGCACTGGGCATAGGGCCCACTGCAGCCAAAGAGAGAGGAGGCAGATGGGGCAAGGCCTTCACTCTCCCTACGTAGCTGCCTCTCCTCTGCAGAGAAGCAGCGCTGGCTGGTGAAAGGGGGTGGAGGTAGGTTACAGGGGCAAGGGAAAGAGAAGAGCCCTGAAAACCGTTCCCTTTAACCTGGCATATTTATATATTTACAGTTACAAGAGAGGGGAGGAAGCCTGGGATAACAATGATTTTTTTTTTCCAAGGCAGGAAATGAAATCATAATAGCACCCCCATCTCAATCACATTTTCCTACCTCCTTCAACCTCAGGTGGGGAAAGGGAAAACGGGAGGTAGGGGGTGGGAGAAAGGAATGTTTGAGGGTCCTGAGCCTGCAGCTCACTCCTAAAGAAGGCAAGGCCGCAGAGGAGGGGCGACTGGGTCCCACCAAGAGAAGGACCCAGTGAGTCGATGAGAAGCAGCTGCTTGTGCCCTGCCTCTCCACCAGCCCTGCGTCACACATGGGGCTAGGCCAGACCCATCTCCTCCAGCACACTGCGTGGCGATTCATCCTCCTAAGGCAGAGAGAGACAGTGGGTGACGCAGAGACACCAGGAGAGGCAGACAGGGGGGGTGGGGGGGGATAAGACAACAGTAGTCATGACGAAGGAAGCAGATGAGAGACACGAGGTAGGGAAGAGAGAAGGCACCGTGAGGCCGAGTCCTGGAGGGGAACTTGCAGCCTCCCAGCACTATCCTCAGAGCCAACTGTGGCAGGGCAAGGGCCTGGGGTCAGTCCATCCCCACCCAGAGAGCCCAAAGCCAGGAGCTTGGTGAGCAAGGGTCTCAGCCTTAGCACCTGAGGAAGGGAATAGGGGTGGCTGGGGAGGGGGGCACTGCTTCCTGGGGAACATGGGGTGGCAGGTGGTTGGGTCCTTCCTTTGGAGGTGGGGGATGGGTGCGATGGAAAAGTTTGGCTTCAGGTCCCCAGGGTGGGTGAACCAGGTGCAGAGAAATGAGTCACGAGGGTCTGAAAAGAGTATTAGTCACGGGTGGGCACGCATGCTCAGAGAGTGTGTGAGTGTGAGTGTGTGTGTGTGTGTACACACACATATGTGTGTAAGAGGGACAGAGGAGACGGAGTCAGGGAAGCTGGGTGAGAGAGCTGGCATGTCCAGCTCCGCCTCTGGTCCCGCAGAGAGGAGCCCCCCACTTTCCCCCTCCTCAGAGAAAGCTCAGGCTGGCTTCCTCCTCACTGCAGATTCCGGTGACTCATCTCCCTGCACCAAGTCTCAGCAGTGGCACAGCAGACAGGGGGCAGGCAGTAATGGGGTGAGGGCAAGGGGGGGGACAGGCAGGGAGAGCCAGCGGAGTTGACCATCCTCTTCTCCAGGATCCAAATCCCCATAGCCGACTTTTGGAGCATGTGTGTGTTAAAAAGAAAAAGAAGGAAGTGGAAAAAAAGCTATCTACCATATACGTGCCCCCTTCTCTGATTCTCTGAACAGTCCCTGAAGTGTATAGCCTTTGAGTGTGAAGATTTGGCTGGGACAAGGGTCTTGGGTGGCGAGGGCTTGGACTGAGGGGAGAACTAGCACAGGAAGACCCCATATGGTTAGGGCTTCAGAGCAAGCTGCTGGACAGCTGAGGAAGAGAGGTGGGCACCTAGGAAGGCAGACCATCCCTGGGAGCAGGAAGATGGCAGCTGTCACTGGTGAGCTGGGTGTCCAGGGGAGGGAGGACACTCCAGGCCACAGTGCATCTCCTCCTCCTCACTGTCCCTTGTCCCTACCTCCTGCAGCAGGTCTGCCTGCTCAATGGCCTTCAGCACACTCTTCTTGGAAGTGTCCTGCACGTCGCCCCCCATCAGAAACTCGTCCAAGATAAAGTAGGCCTTCTCAAAGTTGAAGATGATGTCCAGCTCACACACCTGAGGAGCCGAGGCAATGACACAGTTGAGTGAAAAGGTACATTCCCACCCCCAGCCCTCTCCAGCTCCTTCCTACTTTTTGTCTCATAAGCACCCTTCCTGCCCCCACGTCCTCGTCCTCCACTATTCAGTGCTTCGGCGCTGGCTCTGCTTTTTCTTCTCCGTCGCTTGTCTCTTTCTCCACAACCGTGGACGTGGAGTGTCAGTTGCCCCTGTCTACTCTATCTGTGGTTCCTGTTGCCTCCCCGCTAAAATGTGCAATGCTGTTCCCACTCAGAGCAGGGCGGGCAGCCAAAGAGGAGGTTCAGGACAACTGGGTGGATGATTTGATTCCAAACAGGGCTGCGTCACTAACTAGTTAGTTGTACAACTGACTTGGAGCCTCAATTTTCTCATCCAAAAATAGAGATAACAATGCTCACTCGTAAGATGGAGAGAGGAGTAAATAAGAGAAGGACAGAAAAGCACTTTGTAAACTGTTCAGTGGATACAAACTAGGGCATTATTATTATTATCATCATTGTTCTGGGCCAGTGAGTTGGAATCTCCCTCCAGCTAGTCCTCAGATGAGTTTTCGGAGACTGTAAACTTCTTGGGAGGAGACCACCCAGTTTTCTTCCCAGCTAGTAAATTCGAACCATCTGCCTTTGGGTTGGCAGCGCTTCTCCTTACTCATTACTGTCCCATCTATGGTCTGAGCTCTCTGGCAATGCCCAGGCTATGTGCTCTACATCTTTTAACCCACAGTCTTAGGGTAGAACTCTAGTACTGGTATTTTCATAAAGCTCTCCAAAGGTTCCAATACGTAGCCAAGGTCAGGAACCACTGATACAAATTTGAACACAACCTCTGTCCTTGTGTGAAAAGACTGAGCTGAACTGTATGTGGATATTAAGTGAGAGATTACAGTCCAAGTCCCCCCACCTCCCCACACACCCCAAAGGCTGATTAAAGGGCATGGTTAATAGGCTTAAGGCTTAAAAAGGGAGATTAGTTATAATGCTCAACACTCCAACCTCACTTCTCTCAGGTCTTCCAGGGCAGAGACTAGAAGGGTCCCAGAGTTTAAAGACAAGGGGGATTTCTGGGTGAGGACACTGGGGTGAGTGAGGAGACTTACGCTGCCAAAGTATTTGTCCAGAAGCTCCACATATCGGTGGATCAGCTCCAAGGTGATGAGCTCATTGTCTTGGCCCTCGATGGCACAGCAGAAGTAGAGGCTGGCATATCTGGGGACAGGGGCAAAAGTGGCAGAGCTGGGAGGGATGCAGAGCTGTGGGCTGTTCCAGAACCCAGGTATTCTGCACTTCAGCCTCCTGTTTCACCTCATTCCCTGAGCTTGTGCTTTAGACCTGGCAAGGTACCTCCCTCTGTGTCTTAGTGCGCTTGCTCTCACTCTCTCTCTCTCTCTCTCTCACACACACACACACACACAAAGGCACATCCTTTTTCTTTCTTGTCCTTTGACCTGCCTAGTTTGACTCAGCAAAAAAAGGAGCCAACAAATTCACCTTTCACAGAGCAGAAACCGGAAAGGAAGTGCTTCTAAGGGAAATGGGACAGAACCTAGAACTGATAAATGACACTGCAAAGGAGAGACACAGTGGACCAGAGGGGGCCTCTGTCAACAGAATGCATAAGGCTTGACCAAAACCAAGAGGGAACAAGAGTTTCTTCAATGGGAATTTGACTGTAAGAGAAAGTAGAGTTAATCTCTGACCTCTACATGCTCAGCTACCAGCTTTCTTTGACCTAACCAAAAATCCACTGCTGTGGAGTCAGTTTTGACTTACAGTAACTATCCACTGAGATCCTCCAAGGCTGTAAACCTTTATGGGAGGAGACTGCTAATCTTTTTCCCTCAGAACAGCTAGTGGATATGGTACACCAGTGCCTCTTCTCCTTGGTCCACGTAGCCCCTTATTTTAGCAACATTTAACCCACTGGAGAAGGACATCATGTTCAGAAGGGTGGACGGACAGCGCAGGAGAGGGAGACCTCAGATGAGATGATTGATAGAGTGACTGGGGCGATGGTTGTTGGTGTGTCAGAATTAGTGAGACTGGCTCAGGACAGGAATGGGTTCAGAGCTGCTGTATATAGGGTCATTATGCATCACAGACGACTCAATGGCACATAAAAATAATAACATACTATGACAGGTTTGGAAGCAGGAGTGGCATCCACTTCCTAAATAACATGCCTCTGGAAACTCTACAAACTTTGATAAATGTTGATAGTTGTAGAGGGGCTTCAGGTCTTTTGTTCATAGGGTCACTAGGAGTCATGCTCAACTCGATGGCAATCAACAACAATAATCCACTGCCAAATGCCAACCAAGCATCATCGAGGCAGGCTGGACAGTGGTTAAGGCTTACCTCTTATAGACGACTTTGAGGTCCCTCCACTCCAGGAAACTGCACATCTTGGGTTTGCGAGCCAGAACAACCTGCATGAGCTCCCGAACCATCTTCTTCCGCTCCTTGTCGGAGGTGGCCAGGTACCATTTCTGCAGCCGCAGTTTCCCCTGCCGGCTGAACAGCAGCATAAATCGCATCTGGGAAGTGGTAAACATAGCTGAGGGTCAGAGATTTGGTTTTCTGAATGTCTTCCCTCCACAAACACATAGTTCCAAAGTCTGTTTCTTCTCCATTCACAGTTCCTATACCCTTAAAAAGTATCTTGCTGTCAGTACTGGAGATGTCCACCAATAGGTGTCTATCCCTCTAAGGGAAGTTAAGACCTTCTTAGTTCATCATTTGGGCTCAAGTCCTGGCCCTCATACCAATTGAGTAGGACCTTCCTACTAATTGAGTAGGACCTTGGGCAAATTAGTTTGTGTCCCTGAGTCTTTGTTTCCATATCTATAAATTGAGATCATAAAGGATCTAAATGAGGTGGCATATGCAATAGTGCATGGCACATGGCAAACACTGAAACATGGTGGTTGTTATATGCTGTCAAGTTGCCTGCGACTCATAACGACCCTATGTACAGCTGCTCTGAAGCCTGCCCTGTCCTGAGCCAGTCTCACTAATTCCGATACACCTACCAGCATTGCCCCAGTTACTGTATCAGGCATCTCATCCCAGGTCTTCCTCTTCTGTGCTGTCCCTCCATCCTTCTGAGCCTGATATCCTTCTCCAAGGACTGGTCCCTCCAGGCCATGTGCTCAAAGTATGTGAGATGAACCCCCTGATCTCCTGTTTCCTAACTCTGTTTTCCACATGTAGGTAAAATCATGACCAGATGCCTTAGGCTGATTCCAAAGAGAGGGTTGTTCTCTTCCATGCTTTTTCTGTCCATTACCATCATGAAATAGTGTGTTCTTGTCTCTCAAGAAGCTACCTTAACTCTTTGTCCCATCCTAACCAGGACTCCTTTCTGATGTCCTGGACACTCTAATGCCTTCTAATGGCACTGCAGTGCTCTGGGCATCCTCCAGGTGCCACAGGGCAGTGGGACCCTGAAATCCTCCCACTGCCTTTTCTTCACACTCTTCCAGGCGTCTCTGACTTCTTAGCATCTCTTCCTTTTCCAGCTGCTGGCTAACGTATACTCACTCCTCCCCCAGTGACCAACCTCTCTTTGGGTCTCTCAGATAGGACACAGCCATCAGGGAATGTCTATGGAGAACAGGGCAGGCTGGGAGTACTGAGTTCCCACTCCCACGCGCCTCTACCCTCCCTGAGTGAAGCCCAGCTACACTCCAGGGTCATTCCAGAAACCCTTGGATATAAAAGCACCAAACCCAACCCACTGTCACTGACTTAGGGGCTCCTTATACTTTAAACCAGAGCAGATCTACCCTGCAGGGTCTCCAAGGCTGTAAATCTTTAAGGAAGCAGACTGCCACATTTTTATCATTGTACCACCAGGGATCCCTTGGTGGATGTGTTTGTAGCTCAGGGCTGAGTTCAAGGCCAGGAGGGAACCAAGCTCTTGGGTGGTAGGAAGGTGGCAGAGCCGCTGGCGTGGAGGGAGAGGAAGCGAGGTGCACCAGGCAGCAGTGTGCCTTTACATGGGGGCGGGGAGAGGGGGCCGAGCAGGAAGACGGAAGGCCTGGGCTCCGGAAAAAGAAGGAGAAGAGGGGCGGAGAGCGAGAGCACTGGAGCCTGGGACTCCAAAGCCTGGGTCCCTGAGAGCAAAACCTAAAGTCCACTGGCTTCCCCGCCTCACCCCTGCCCCGAGGCGGACACGGCGGCCGGGCGTTCCTTCCTCGGACCCGGAAACTCTGCCCTCCCACACCCGCTCTCACTACCCCCCGCGCTGCTCTCGGGGCTGCGGGGCAACCCGGGGTCCTGATGACCGGTGACCCCCACTCCCGCCCTCCGTCCACGGACAGAACCCCCCGTGCGCCTCTATACAGGGTGCGGGGTGCAGCCCTTCCCCCGCGGCAGGGGTCAGGACCCCTCCGATCGAGACCCCCGGCCGCTCCTGCTGTCCCGATCGGTCCCACCGCCATCGCCGTCCCCATTCTACCCCCTCTCGCCCCACAAATGCGTTTCCTCCCCGCCCCTTCTCGCAAATGCCATTCCCAGCAATTTCTTCCGTGGCCACCTCGCCCACCTGTCCACAAAAGTGAGGGTTCCAGGGAAGAAAGAGCTACTCATACAGAGGGCAGCCCCCAAGGACCCCTGCAGGTGCAGCCCACGCCCCTCAGTTTCCCCCCCTCCCCTCCCTCTTCGCACAGCCTACCATCCTGCAGCCTCCGGCTCGGCGCGTCCCTCTTCGGCCACCGTAGGCGCCAGCTCCACTCGGCTTCTTATCCTTTCACCTTCTTCCCTCCCTCTGGGTTGAAGCCCCGCCTCGTCCCGCCCCGATCCGGAGGCCCAGCGCGGTGCGTACTGCGCAGGCGCCAGCCTTCAGGGGCGCGTGGGCGGGGCTGGAGGCGGAGAAGCGGGAGCCATGGCAACCAGGTCCTTGACTTCGGCTTTGAGTAGTGCTGTTGTCATGGTAACCAAGCGATCTAGTGGGTTGGTGGGAAGGTGCCAGAGCAAGACAATGAGCCCTCGTACTTTGGAACCTTAAGGGGGAAAAGGCGGGAAAAGGCGTGAAAGGTGCATGGGACCATCAAAGGAATTTGTGAGAAAGTAAAGAGGACAAATGGAAGGCACGTGGACAATTAAGAGTGAGCCGGAGAAGGCTGGGCAATCCTCCCTGGGTTTAACTGCGTCTGAAACCACCCTGGAGGGTCTGCTTTGGGTCGGTTCCGACTCAGTGGTACACAACAGGATGAAAACTAGACGTGGGGGAGGAGGAATAAAATAAAGTAAAGGAGACGGAGCTCAAACAAGTTTCAACATAGGGCATCAAAGCAGATATTCAAATCCATTGAGTATCTGCTAGATGCAGCACTTTCTTTCTTTTTATTATTTTTTGTGTGTGTACCGTCAAGTCGGATCTGACTGGTACAGGAGGATTATCCCTCCTTCTCCAGCAGAGTATCAGGTGGATTCGAACCACATACTTCTGGGATGGCAGTACAGCTTCTTGCCACCAGGCCACCAGAGCTCCCTTAGATGCAGCACTTTCTTAAAGAGAAAGGTGTAGGAAATGAAGGAGATGATAAAAGTGAAAATGGGAGGTCAGCAATAACAGGGACCTAAAGGAAAAGGTGAGAAAGCTGAAGAAAATCAAGGCGCAAAAGGAAAAAAAAATATTAAGAGAATTGTAAAAGATAAGAGCATGCGCTCTTTCACCAAGGACGCGCCAACATGGGCCACGTTCGCACTAGAATCGTAAAGAAGGTGGCCCGGGTTATCATTGTGAAATAAATATTGCACGCGCTTGGGTAATGACTTCCACACCAACAAGTATGTGTGCGAGGGGATCACCATTATTCCCAGCGAGAAGCCCAGAACAAGCTAGCAGCAGGCTATGGCACACATCTGATGAAGCAGATTCAGAGAGGGCCTGTGAGAGGCAGCTCCATCCGGCTGCAGGAGGAGGGGAGAGAAAGGAGAGAGAATTACTACCAGAGGTTTCAGCCCTGGATCAGGAGATCATTGAAGTAGATCCTGACACTAAGGAAATACTGAAGCTCATGGACTTTGGCAGTCTGTCCAACCTGCAGGTCACTCAGCCCACAGCTGGGATTAGTTTCAAAACACCACGTGAGGCCATTCGGGTCTTTCTGTTATGCTGTAATATTTTCAATAAACTTGAGCACACCCTCCCCCATAAAAAGATAGGCATGCATCAAAACAAAAAAAAAGATATATGTAACAGACCAATGTCTAAAGTTGAGAGGAAAAAACACTGAAAAATTTATTGCCATCAAGTCAGAACATTGACCCTCCAGCAGATTTTCAGAGGCTGTAAACCACACAGGAGGAGATTACTCATCTTTCTCCAGCTGAGAAGCTGGTAGGCTCAAACCTGCCTGCCTTTGAGTTGACAATGTAACTCCTCACCACTGGACTATTAGAACTCCCCAAAGATGAGGAGGATATACATTTTAAGGTGAGCTTTCTGGCTGAGGGTGTGTACATGTGTGAGTGTTCACAACTGTGTGTATGTGTTTAATAATAAGATTATGCATATGAAGATAGAACCTTGTGTCTGCCACTATATTGAAATATGGTGGTGTGATGTTGGAAGCTGTGACACTGGCATTGAAAATACTAGCCGAGAAGCCCATGCTAGAGAGGTTTCACCAGAGCTCCCAGACTGAGACAGACTAGGATGAAGAAGCTGACAATCTACTTTTGACAACTAGTCAATGGAAACCTTATGGATCATTACAGAGCTTGTCTGTCTCATTTTCTTTGGACCAATCACAGAGAGGGATTAATTGCTGGAGAAGGACATACGTAAAGGGCATGTGTGAGAGGTGGAGGGCTGGTAAAGGCAAGGGAAACCCTTTATGAGGTGGATTGACACATGAGTACAAGGATGGATTGGAATATGACAGTGAATGTGAAGCTGATAGAGACTGAGTAGTTGCTTTGTTGTACATGAGTTTCAGTCAACTTAATGGCACATATCTATCACAAGAAGAAGAGAAAGCATTAAATTTTGTCATGCTGAAAATCAAATGGATGATCCTGCATAATTATTGGAAGTAAATGATACCAGTATTTTTCAGTAGCACACGAAGTAATTGTTGATAAATCTTACGTGTTTCTACGTTGTGTTCTGGTTTTGGTTCTTTGTGATGGAGTTTATGCCTTAGTGACAAAGGAGCAAGTCTAACTTACCTGGGATGGAATCTTGTCTCTGATTCACATTAGATGTATTTCCTCAGGTGAACCACTTAACCTGTAAATCTACCCACTACCCTCTATACTCTTACTTTTTAAATAGTGATAATAGTATATACACTGTCGGTTGGTTGTTTTGGGTTGTTGGGTTTTTTTAAATTATTATTTTGTGTGTGTGCACTGTCAAATCAGATCTGATTGGTACAGGAGATTGCCTGTCAATATTTATGCGTTCCATTTCTTTCTTAACAATTTCTAATTTTCCTACATTCATGGTTCTCACATTCCATGTTCCAATTACTAGTGTCTGCTTACAACTGTTCCTCTTCCTTTGTATTTTCATGCTTGACAGTTCTACCTAGGTTGCCCTTTCTGTTCGTCTACGTGTGTTGTGTTGTACATAGGGTTTTCAGAGGCCTGCCATTTCAGAAGTGGATGGCCAATCCTTCTTCCTAGTCTGTCTTAATCTGAATGTTTAGATTTAGAGGAGTATCTGACAGACAGCAATTTATACATCTCAGGGGAGGAGGTTGTCCGTATTTCTCCCTCGGAGCTGTCACCCTGCTAACTATGCCACCAGAGCTTCCTGTTTCTATGGTTAGAAGTAATATACAGAAATTGCCTGGCATAATAGAAATTCAATAATAATAATAATAATAATAGCTATTATAATAATAATAGCTATTATCATTATTTCCATTTTCTACCTTGTTATGAATTGAATTATATCCTCCCAAATGTGTGTTGTAGCCCTAACCCTTAGGTTTATAGCCCACTTGGGAATTAATTTTCTCTCTTATGATTATTAGTGTTGTTGTTATGTACCATCGAGTTGCTTGTTTTTTTTTTCTATAATTATATTTTATTAATTTTCATAAACATTTACAGAGATTTTGGGCTTCCACTCATTCATTGTTGCACTATTCTCTCTACCCTCCTCCCAGTTTGTTCTTGTCCAAATGCCACAGTGCTTGTCAAAGCCAGTTCTGATTAATCTTCTTTGTCAGTGTATCCTTTGCCGTTCCCTATCACTCCTCCCTGAGAGAGACTTCACCCTGAGTCATAAGGAAAAGGGGACGGCGTATTCTCTTAGCTACTTCCTGCTGAAAAGGGACGCTGTGGGTTTCAGGGTGAAGATCTTCTCTCACTACTCTAAAGGGCCCCTTTGGCAGTAGGAAACACATAGACTATTATGGAGATTGATTTTGGAATTCAGATGCACTCTTATTGATTGTGCTTGGCTGTACATGTACATATCCTTCAAGATGTATCATGGGGGTGTTGCAACCTAGAAGACACAAATTTGACTAATAAGTTATAAGTACATGAGTCCAAAAATTATGGAAAAGTAAAAGAAAAGATTCTTTCATTGTGTTACAAACCCTCCCCCAGGTCCCCTCCACCATGCAGCCCTTGCTCTAGTCTCCTGTGATGACAGAAATACCCAGTTACATCTCTCTTTTAAACGGTTCTCTCCCTCCTCTGTTTCAGTGCAGTATACATTATTGAACCCATCTTACTCAGTCTCTCCCCAACCCCAAGGACAGTCCCATTCTACAACAGTGGCATCATGTAATATTTGTCCTTTTGTGACTGGGATATTTCACTCAGCATAATGTTCTCCAGAGTCAACCATTTCATCGAGTTGCTTGTGACTCATAGTCACCCTATGTACAACAGCTCTGAAACCTACTCTATCTTGAGCCAATTTCATTGTCTCTGTACTCCATTAACTGACTCAATCTATCTCATCTAGAGTCTTCCTCTCATACACTGTCCATCTACCATTCCAAGTAAGATGTCCTTGTCCAAGGACTGGTCCCTTCTGGACACATGCCCAAATTTTGTGAGACGGAGCTTCAGAATCCTCACCTCTAAGGAGCAGCTTGGTTTCACCCTCCCTAGGACAGACCTGTTTGTTTTCTTGACAGTCCGTGGTATATTCAATACTCTTCTCCAGCACCACAACTCAAAGGCATAAATTTTTCTTCTGTTGTCCTTAGTCATTGTCCAGCTCTCTGATGCCTAGCAAATAATTGTGAAGACTGTGGCCTGGATCAGGCGCACCTTAGTCTCTAGATAGACATCGTTGCTTTTCAGTACTCTGGAAAGGTCCCTGACAGTAGAGTTTCCCAATGCAATTCATCTTAATTTCTTTGCTGCTGGTACCAAGAGTATTAGCGTAGGGTTTATTGTAAATCAAGCGCTTGTGAGATATAAAAGGGATTAAATGAGCAAGTGAGCAAACTGAGCTGGAAGGAGATGGATACCACACCACAAACCAAACAAGAAACCAGGAAACTTGAACCTTCTCCCAGAACCAAAAAAAGAGAAAACCTTCCCTACAGCTGGCACCTAAATTTGGACTTGTATTCTCCTAACCGTGAGAAAAGAAACTATGTTTGTTAAAACCACCCACTTGCGATATTTCTGTTACAGCAGCATTCGATAACTAAGACACACCTCTCTCTCTTTTTTGTATTTGGGTTTTTTTTATTTCCCCTTTACGTTTCTCTTCCCCCTTCATTTCCCTTTCCCCTCTAGGCTCGTAGGCTACCTAATAACAAAGGCACTGGCTGAACTATCTTGGTCCTATTGATTAGG